ATCATTTAATGTCATCCTGATATTTATCGATACATGATCATTTAATGTCATCCTGATATTTATCGATACATGGTCATTTAATGTCATCCTGATATTTATCGATACATGATCAATTAATATCATCCTGATATTTATCAATACATGATCAATTAATGTCATCCTGATATTTATCAATACTTGATCAATTAATGCCATCCTGATATTTATCAATACTTGATCAATTAATGCCATTCTGATATTTATCAACACATGATCAGTTAATGTCATCCTGATATTTATCAATACATGATCAATTAATGTCATCCTGATATTTAACAATACATGATCAGTTAATGTCATCCTGATATTTATCAATACATGATCAATTAATGTCATCCTGATATTTATCAATACATGATCAATTAATGTCATCCTGATATTTATCAATACATGATCAATTAATATCATCCTGATATTTATCGATACATGATCATTTAATGTCATCCTGATATTTATCGATACATGATCATTTAATGTCATCCTGATATTTATCAATACTTGATCATTTAATGTCATCCTGATATTTATCGATACATGGTCATTTAATGTCATCCTGATATTTATCGATACATGATCAATTAATGTCATCCTGATATTTATCGATACATGATCATTTAATGTCATCCTGATATTTATCGATACATGATCAATTAATGCCATTCGCTAAAAATCATTGATTTCTATACATCTACAAAATGGAGAGTTGGACCAAGAGAAAGGTAACTATCCGTCGACTACACTGTAGTTTTAAATATATACTTTGTTTTGGTTGTAACCCTCACGTATATACTTGTAATATGTTTAATGATACGCGAATACAATGATACAATGATACGCGAATCATAAACCCTTGGATTCACAAACAGTGAATGTCAGCCACTAGGCCAAGCTCTGCCTCACATAAATAGGTCACTCTAATAGGTACGTTTCGAGTACTAAGCGAGAAACGGAAAACACCGATAACCGTAGTGAATGTCTGTCTTTATAAGACGTGGAACTACCAGTGGAGTAACTAAATGTCAGTAATGTAAGTGGAACTGCCAGTGGAGTAACTAAATATCAGTGATGTAGTAATACTGGATTGTTTTACATAACCATTGATAAAAGAAAAGTGAACTTCTATGAAAAATAAAAATGTCAATATTTTCAAAGGTTATTTTACTTACAACAATTTTTAAATCACATTTCTGTATAAAATATACCTATAGGTAATGGTTGCTCACACGCATGCGTGGGCCGTCTGTCGGTCCTGGTGTATCATAGATTTTAACCACTTCTCTGACACGACGTTTAATAACATCTATATTGAGTTTGAAAGCAGAACTTACATTACTGACATTTAGTTACTACACTGGTAGTTCCACTTACATTACTGACATTTAGTTACTCACTGGTAGTT